ACCGAAAACGAAACAAAAGTGGTCTATTAAATTTCATGGGCACAGCACAAAAATGGCTCTACGGAACCCTAGATGTGAAGACGGTGCAAGATATGATTCTTATATCCAGACGCTCAATGATAATCAAAAGATTTCTCAATGAAGATCTAAAAACACAAGCTCAAGTATTGAAACAAGATACAAAAACATTTCACGATCAATTTTAGTACGGTTGCTTAGCGAAAAAAAACGCCATTTGATGATACAAGCATGAAATTTGGCACAGTTGCTAAGTAGACCATTTTAATCGATTTGATTCGAGGACCCATCGACTTTTCTCATTGGCACTAAAAAAATCGCCATTTTTTCAATGGTCAATTTTTTGATTTAAATTTTTATTCTGGGTAGACAAGCATGATTATACTCTAGTCTATATATTTCGGGGACGCAGAATAATAAAAAAATAGTTTTAGACCGCTATGATCTTTGGATGGCCTCAAAAAAGTCAATTAAGGTTAAAAAATTAATTTTTTGAAAATAGCTGTTTCAAAGTTAAGTTTGTCTTACCAATGCAGGCATGATTATAGTTTATTGTATATTATTTGAGAAATGAAATTTCAAAAAATATAGTTTTAGACCGATATGACGTCAATTCACCTTGAAAAATATCAATAAATATATTTTGTTGTAAATAATTTGAGGATAAGTATTTCAAAAATAGTTATTTACATTTCAAGCTGCGAAAGCGTACTTTAAGGTGCGAGTAGTATTCGAATAGCCGAGGCGAAGCGAAGCGCAGCCGAGGCTATTTGAAACCTCCAAGCACCTAAAAGGGCTTTTGGTACGTTGATCCCAAAGATGTTCGATTGAGATCCGGCTATATGCGGGACATTTCAATCTTGCAATTCCATAACTTCATCCAGATATTCGCTCACTACATGTGAAACGTGAGGTTTAGCATTATCATGCATTAATGTAAATTGGTTTCCAATGAAAGGAGCAAATGCAACAACAACTTCTTGGAGGATTTTCTCAATGTTACAGTGGTCGGTTAGAGCTCCATTTCCACACCATATACAAGATCGGTGCGTGCTTCAGATGAAATACCTGCCCAAATCATGACTGAACAGCCATGATATGAGATTCGTTTTTATATGGTGCAGTCAGCATATCTTTGATTTCTACGTCTGTATACCCGCTCACGACCATCTGGCGACAAATCCTGGATTCATTGGTGGATAGTACGTTTCCCCACTGTTCTAGAGTCCACCAGTCAGAATGCAATCGTGCAAACCTGAGTTGGTGTTGTCGATGCCGAGGAAGTGAGTGTAGACATTTTGATGGCCTTCGTGAATCAAGCCCATCTTCTGCCAATCTTCTACGCTACGTATCGTTCTTTCACTCACATGTGCCTACTCGATAAGTCATTTGCAAGTGATTTTTTAGACACACAGCAGTAGATCTTCAATCTCTTGAAGAACTAACAATGATAAAGCGATCATCAGCTGCAGTGGTCATTCTCCTTCTGCCAGAGCCTTGCCGCCTAGTAAAATTTCTCGTCTGTAAAAATTCTGTCGTCGATAGTTTTTAATCGAAAGCCTGACAAACATTTTCTAAAAATAACATCGTTTTAATAAAAAATTTGCCGCTCGCAGCAGAAACGAGATAATGGAATGAATCAAATAACGAAATGTTAACAATACATCAAAGATAACAAGAATCAGTATATAAATAAAATTACACCTCAATTTTCCAGAGGGTGTTTTGAAGTTACGATCAAAAACAACACTTTGCTTTACTCCTGGATAATATAGTGTTATCGAAAAATGTTACTTCATGAAATAATAAGAGGAAAACACAATAAATGGATCTACAAACCTATATCAAAATCACGGAAATCGGATAATAAATAAAAAAGTTACAAAACATCAAACTTGGCCGAAATTTCAGGGTGGCAGAATTTTGTGCCGGTGAGTGTATTATTATCTGAAAGTAAAATTTTGGACGCCATTTCAAAAAAATTGGGGATCTTCAAGGTCATCTAGGTCAGCTCAACCTCAAGAGTATTATTTTTATTGTCTGTATTTACAATCGTTTATAAGATTACCTATCCCAGTACATTTGAAAATAAGAAATTAGTACTAAAATACGAATAATGGACGTCATTTTACAAAAATTACGGTTTTCAAGGTCAGCGAAAGGTCACAGCGGTCTAAAACATTTTTTTTATTATTCTGCTTCCCCGGAATTTATGGATTAGAGTATAATCATGCTTATCTACACCGATTCAAATTTGAAATTAAAAAATTGGCCGCCATCTTGGAAAAATGGCGATTTTTTTAGTCCTAGTGAGAAAAGTCGATGGGTCCTCGACTCAAATCGATTAAAATGGCCTACTTAGCAACTGTGCCAAATTTCATGCTTGTATCATCAAATGGCGTTTTCTCTTGAAAAAATCCCTTAAGCAACCAGACTATTTCTAAATATTGAATCTAACCAAATCACAGGAAAATTGCAAAATATTACCTTGGAAAACCAAAATTTCCACTGAATGTTAACCTTTAATCTAATATTGAACAATATCAATATCCATAGTAATAAAATAAGGAATCTAATTGATCATGTGCAATTAGCAATTAATTTTGCACAATTGGGAATAATGCATTATACTATTTTACAGCACAATGAATTAAATCAAATATTACCAAATATACCCAAAAGTCAACCTTTTAAGTATTACGGGACAATGAAAACTCAACTAAAAATCCAAAATAAGCTAATTATATTTGTTATACACACACCAATGATTGATCCCAAGCCCTTTATATTGATAAAATTGATTTAAAAAAATATTGATAAATAAAAAAATTACTACGGACATTTACTACAATACTTTATGGGAATGCCCGAAAGTCGAAAATGTTTATCTTTATAACCAAGAAGAGCTGAAGCAAGAAGAATCATGTGTCTATAACCTGATTACTGACCTACCACAACAATGTCCTTTCACTAAAGTGAAATATGAGGAAGCAACAGTGAGACAACTCCCGAATGGACAACTATTAGTTATTCCTAAGAAAAGTCTGACGATAGTTATTCAATGTGAGAAGACAAACCATATGGAAATTATAACCAATCCAACGCTAGTTTCTTTTGAAAAATGCTTTGTGAAAATACAAAATCAAACATTTTCAAAAATCAGCGAGAACTTCAATTTTGAACTGAAGATTCTAAAAATAGATATCCCTGAACTTCCAGAGAACAAAACAACATTGGAACTTCAAGAAATCAACCAAGAAGACTTAGAAGAAGTTTTCAAGACGACGAAACAGATAGGAGTTCACAATCTAAAAGAATTGTCTTTCGAAAACTCTTATTTGAACACATATGTAATCATAGGTTTAAGTCTTGCTATTGTATTTATAATTTTATTGTTTTACTGTTTTAGGAAGTTTAAAACTTCAGAAAAAGGTTGTGCAAATGTGCAAATTTAATTGTCTGATTTGAATTCACAACAATCCACGTTTGCAAGTTGGAACCTCTTAAGGAGGGAGGAGTTATATTAATCAATTGCCACGCTGATTTATAATCAAATATCCATTTTTTATATGCTTTAATGTACTTACCCCTTTCCTCTATGACTTTTTAAATACATTGTTGTAAAGTAAACATCCCATAAGGAACGTTCATTTGTTTCCAGGCTTTTGCTGTTGCAATTTGATCCACATATTTTCTTTTGTCACCTCTGTATTTTAATCAATAAAATGAATGTTTTTTAAAATACAAGTTTCTGAATCGAAAATATGTGTTAAAATGCACAACCAGTATAGTACATAAAAGCTGCTTTCGGAAATGTAAATCCTGGATCGAGTAGTTCAATATCAGCTGATCGCGGTTTAGCTCGTTTCCAGAGTAGATTATTCAACGTTTCCGAACGTTTGGGATCGACAATCGCCGTTTGTTTTTTTAAACGATTTGGGGTTTTTACGTTTGACACTGCAAACCACCCCAAACACAACAAATCACAATAATTCAATCACAAAACTTGACAAAACGGAAACAAAACATATAAAATAAACATAACATAGAACCAAAAAAATCATACAGCTGATTGATTAATTTTCTACCCACGTCAAGAGCAGGGTTAACGAGATCACAAACATATGAGAAAACCTAGTCAACAAAATCACTTACCGAACGCGAGTACTCGACTTCGGATCATTTTACGAACGATGAAATTGCTAATCCGATCGAACTGATTAATCGGATCACGTCACACTTTCCGAAAGCGGCTATAGTTCACTGATGTTTGCCTAGTTATTCTCATACTTACTAAGCTTAACATCATGTGATTTAGATTTATCATGAATTTTTATTCTTAAAGTAATCACTTATGTGAATTCTTTTTATGATTATGAATGGAAGTACACGTATGTTCATATTATGAATGTATACCTACGTATAATTATTTTGCCTTTTTTGTATTTATGTTAGGTTTTCTTATGCTATACAGAAATTTATGATACATCTCAGAGGTTATACATTATAAGAGTTCATAATTTATTTATGTTTTATTAGATTAGATAGGTACCTTTGATTCTGATGTTTTATTTTATGTTTTACCATCCTCATTGTCTGAGGATGGTAAAACCCCAATAATGGGGCTATTTTGTGTCATGAATTTTTTTTTTTTTTTAAATTTAAATATTTTCTATATCTTGTACGATTTATTCCGCTATTCCTATCAGTAAATAATAAATTATTCTATATAGTATTTAAATATTCAATGGCTTGTACAAAGAAGCATCACAAAACCCTGACTTTCTTTAATTCATTGCTGATCCATGAATTAATTAAACCTCTCGATATTGTTTTTTACCACTGAAAATTAATAGGCTTCGTTTCCCTAAATATACCTACCTAGAAAATTGACCGTTAAGTTAATATCGAAGCTAATTTATTATCATAAATACAAAATCCATTTATATAAACCTGAAACAAGAAAACATTGTGATAGATGTTTTCAAAGTTTATTATTGGGAAAACGATGAAATTTTTGTGGTAGAATTTATGCTTTCTACCTTGTTCAATATAACTATTTATCATAAACAATACCTATGTTCAAAATATTGTTAAACATTTTCATAAACGTTGAATTACATTAATTTGAATCATTCGAGCTATTAGCGATTTTGAAAACATTAACAAGATATCGATACTTATACTTATTATTCAACAGGAAAAGAATTTACAGCAGGATGGAATCTGCAGGTATTCCAGCAAAAATTCACCGAAGGATGATGAAAAGCAGCGTTTTCTATGTGATGGATTGGTTTAGTAATCTTCTTTTAAGTATTTGTTTGTGCCTTGTATGATCAAAATACACTTAACTTTTACAAATAATGCGCGTGACGTATAAAATACAATTAATATTTTATTACCTAAAATTTCTTCACATTACACTTAGTAACACGGCTTACACATTTAGGTACTATTACAAAAAAATTACTTACATAACATAAAATTACAACCACAGTCAGATTATTTAAAAAATAATAAATAATATAATTACTTAAAAATTATAAAATTCAAAAGCAAGGAGACACATTTGAAAATATAAACTTATGTTAAGAATTCAATAAAATTACCGACAAAATTTCTGTGGTAAAAATTACCTTCTTAAGAATATAATAAAATATATCTTTTTGTTTTCTCCCTTCTTGCTTTTGCTTATTCAAATCTTTTTTACAAAATAAATATACCTAACAAAGAAGTATTAGTTACCCTGAGAAATATATTTTCATAAAAAAACCTACTCTAAATGCTATTCGATAACTTGAGCCCACGGATGTTGAATGTGTCCATATTGGATGGCTACTAATTCAGCCCTGGCGCGGTGATATACCGGATTTTGTTGTTGCATAGTTGGAACTTCGATAAGCTCATCCTGGTATTCTATGGATCTTATGGGGCTTATTATGCAAGCGGTACCTGCACCGAACATTTCTAATAGCTGGAATTGGAAAACATATTATGATAACATTTTGTTGACAATTTATGATAATGATTTGTTTGTGTTGTACACGGATTCTGATTTAATACCAGTTGAGAGAATATTTTAATTTCTAGGCTTAGTGTACTAAGAACGCACCTACAAATATTCACAAATTGAAATAAATTGTGATAATAGTCTTACCTTGCCAGATCTTGACCGTTGAACAATTTCAGACATCGTAACCGCCCTTTGTTCAATTCTAAACTCTTTCCATTGATCGCAAAGTTGTAAAATTGACTGTCGAGTCACTCCGGGTAAAATCAGACCATTCAAAGGTGGAGTTGCTAATACTCTTTCTACAAGCAACAATAGTTTATAATAATATATTCATACAAAGAAGACAATAACAATTACCTCCAAATTCGTCTTCATAAAATACAAAGATATTCATAGTTCCTACTTCGGTAATTTGATGGTCGGGGCCATATAACCATAATACTTGTTGGCGGCCTTTTTCTAATGCCCTCTTTTGTACTCTTATCGTTGGGCCATAGTTTGAGCCTAATTTTTTATCGCCGCAACCGCCAGGCCACGCTCTAGAATTTTATTGGTAAATATACAATTATCGATCATTTTTATAGGAAAAATTTACCGTGTATAGGCTGGATCCGCTAATAGGGAAACGGAATCGTCAGATCCGCTAAAATAGCTTCCTACAGGGCACATGATTGTAAATAGCAGAGCCGATTCTGATTGCTGGACTCCTAAAGTTCCCTATAATAAAATAAATATATTTTAAAGATAGACAAATGTCTTCAATAGGTATGTCTTCAAGGTAAATTTATAACTTTTTCCTCGGAGATTGGTAGCGTAGTGAAAAATGGTATAGGTGAAGCATTAAATTTCTAATAATTATAAACTATATGAATTTATTTAGATTATGGATAATTTCGAAGGGCAGCTCACAGAAGTAGTAATTTTAATTTTAAACTCACCAATTTAACTCCAATTTACTTTCGAAATTTAAGTACCTATGAATACTAAATGTTGGCGACCTATTCATAAGGGAGTTAAGTATAGTTGCTTTCAATAAAGTGTATATTTTGTCATAGAAAATTAATTTATGGACCATCTTGCTGAGCCATCCGGAATATGCGAAAGACTGATGACATTGCGGCTAAGCCTCAGCAATAACCCTCACAACTGATGAAAACCAAAAAAAAAGAATTTTATGCCCAGCTAAGGGAAACCATATCATCTGTACTCAGATCTGATAAACTTGTTCTTTTAAGTGATTTTAACGCCCGGGTCGGTTCAGAGTCAGATTTATGGTAAGGCGTGATCGGCAAGGAAGGCGTCGAGAAAATGAACTCGACGGACTTCGCCTACTAAACACACGCTCAGAATATTATCTTGTAATAACGAATACAGTTTTTCGACAAAAGAATAAATTCAAGACTTCCTGGTAACACCCTAAGTCAAAGTACTGGCATCTAATCGATTATGTAATTGAACGTTCTAGAGATCGAGATGATGTGCGCATTATTAGAGCTTTAATAAGTGCGGATGACTGCTGGACTGATCATCGGCTGATACGAGTTTAACCCTTCAAATGCAAATTTAATAGATTGTTCTGTTCGTTACTGATAATATTGGAACGTAGTGTTCTATTAGTTACTGTATATTGGAACGTAGTTGCATAAGGCAGTACAAAACAAGATAGCGCGAGGCTGTGTTGTGGTGGTGCCTGCTCGTACTGATTAAGTGGAATTCTTGCGGTTACTGAAAGTATTAAAGGAATGAATATGTTTCAATCGGTCTTTAAATAATACCTAAACCCCAACATAACATGGTGGCAGCGATGAGCAAGTGATTCGCGTAAATAAACAAAAGTGTGTGTAAAACGGGTCCAGGTTCGCATTTTCCGGCCATCTCGGGCAGAATCAAGTGCTGCGTTCCCGTATCTACATCGCTAGTGCAAGCAAAATGCCAAATAATTAACAAGAGGAAGCTGCGGCTGCGGCCAATGTGTAAATCCTCCGGAAAAGTTTAATTTTCAATTTCCAGAGGGATGGCCTCAGTGGCGCAAGCGTTTTCAATGCTATATGGCAGTTTCAGCTAGGGCATGATAGAAAGCCTGATAAAGAGAAAATTGATCTTTTGATATAATATATTATGGGAGAAGAGTCCGAAGAGATTTTAGTTCAATTTCAGCAAATGCCTACAACTTACGGCAACACGTTAAACGCGTTTGAACAGCATTTTATTTCTAGGAGAAATGTTATATTTGAGCGTTTCAAATTTAATTCACGAATACAGAAACCTGGAGAAGCAATCGAGATTTTCATCACTAGCCTACATTCTTTGGCAGAGTATTGCGATTATGGAGGATTGAAAGAAGAATTAATCAGAGATAGGATAGTTGTGGGAATGCTAGACAGCAAGACCAGTGAGCGGTTACAATTGCAGTAAAACCTGACGTTAAGCGATTGTATTATGGCCGCTAAACAGGCAGAAATTCAGGCTTCTCAAAACAAAGAGCTTCAAAATGAAGTTCGCCAGCGACAAGTCGCAGAACTTTTGTTTGAGCGCAATGTTGCTGCTCTTTTACGATCGTCTGTATCAGGAACTCAGGGACAGTTCAAGGATGGGAAGAAATTCAGCGATACTCAAAGACCAAATAGTAAAAAGCAGTGAGAATTTTTTTGGATATCCTTCTATTCGAGAGATAATTGTCCAGCTAAGAAGTCCCTCTGCAAATATTGCAAGAAACCAGGACATTGGGCAAGTATGTGCAGAAAAAAACAAATTAAGGTTAGACCGATCGAAATTGACAATAATTGCGGATTAGATGATAGGAGTCTCTCAGAAAAACATGATTTTCTAGGTTCAATTTATTTAAACTACTTGGAAAGTGAGGAATGGAATACTTCTAATTTTGTTTCAAAGTTGGAAAAAAATATAAAATTTTTAATAGATTCCGGGGCAGACATTTCATGTATTCCCGAAAAAGGTTTAAATGATAAAATACTGAAATCATTATCTCCCAGTACTAAAACTGTAACTGGCCCATCTGGCTATCGTTTGGAAGTGTTAGCGACTATGTTTGTTACTTTGGTTAGGCATAATGATATGTTTAGCACAGACCTCTTCGTAATTAAGGGATTATCCAAGCCCATTTTGGGTAGAACTGCTATCAGTCGCTTGAAAATTCTTCAGTATAATGAAAATCAAATAATTGATAATTTAGTTTCAGTAAAGTCAATGTCTACTTTAGTATCAGACTCTGCAAGAAATATTGACGAAATATTTCAGTCTCTTCCAAAACTTTTCAGTGATGTAGGTACATTCAAGACGGAAATGGATATTAAGTTAAAAGAGGGGGTGCCGCCCTTTATTCAATCGGTTCCACGAGTGGTAGGTACCTATTCCTTTGCTTAAACCCCTTAGGGAGGAGTTGGATAGACTTCTTGAACTAGATATTATCGAATCATACCACTTGGGTCAGCCCCATAGTTGTCGTTACAAAAAATTCGAAAATAAGATTATGCGTTGATTATACCAACTTGAATAAGGCGGTTCTTCGGTCAGATTTTCCGATCGGCAAAGTGGAAACTATTTTGGCAAGAATTCAGGGGTCTATGTTTTTCTATGTTTTTCAATCCTAATAAATCAAATCTTAACAGGTATTGAAGGGGTAGTGAGTCACATTGATGACATTTTAATATACCACCAAAGAATCTTACGATAAAATTCTTATGGAAGTTCTTTCTCATCTGGACCAGGAAGGTATAACTTTAAACAAAGACAAGTGTCTATTTGGTGTCCAGTCTTTACAGTTTCTAGGTCATCTTATATCAATTGAATGCATTTCTGTAGATCCTGATAGGATAGAAGCAATAAAATTATTTCCGGAACCATCGAATTAAACTGAGCTTTTGAGGTTCCTGGGAATGATCAATTTCTCTAGTCGGTTTCTTCCCGAAAGATCACTTATTCTTGAATCTTTGACATCTCTGTTAAAGAAAAATATCACTTATACTTGGGATTTTCCTCAAAAAGAAGCGTTTAAAAAAATAAAGCTTTTAATACAAAATAATCCTTGCTTAGCTTATTTTAATACCTACTTCCAAACCAATCACTGTTTCGGCTGATGCGTCCTCTTTTGGCATTGGCGCTTGTTTATACCAGACATCTCAAAGTGGAATCAAAGAAGTTATAGCTTATGCTTCACGGCTACTTTCAGTCACTGAGAAACGTTATGCCCAAATTGAAAGAGAGGCAGCAGCTTTAGCTTGGGCCGCAGAGAAGTTCAAGGAGTATATCATAGGATTATCTATCCACTTTGAAACAGACCATAAGCCTGTCATACAGGTTTTGCAATCAAAACCTATAGATGAATTAACTCCACGTCTACAGAGGCTTAGAATTCGGCTAATGAGGTATGACTATCAAGTATATTATACTCCAGGCAAAGATTTGGCAGTTGCAGTTGAAGTTAAAATATTATTCACTCTCTGAATGGCCCAGATCAGTGACAATTTGAGATTTCATTTGCAGAAGGAATTCTTTTCCGCAATTCTCGAATATTTATTCCTCCAGGGTTACAAATATGTTTGGAATTTATACATCAAGGGCATCAAGGTATAGTTAAATGTCGTGATAGGGCAAAAGCGTCCGTGTGGTGGCTAGGTCTCTCGTCCCAAATAGAGAATTTGATGAGAAATTGCCCCCATTGTGTGAAATATCGACTAAATCCCAAATAACCTCTTCTAAAGGATGATTTTCCTCAGCGTCCTTGGCAAAAAATATTTGAAGTTGAAGGTTGGTGCCTCATTGTCACCGATTATTTTTCCAGATTTTTCGAAATATTCAAATTGCAGAAGATGACTGAACTAGGCATCATTAATAAACCGAAGGAATTATTCAGCCGGTACGGTATACCTGAAATAGTAAGGTGTGATAATGGTTCCCAATTTCAATCAGAGTTCAAAAAATTTGCTTCAGAATATGATTTTGTACATACAACTAGCAGTCCTTATTTCCCTCAGTCTAATGGCTTGAGGCTGCTGTTAAGATCGCTAAACAACTCATTAAAAAGAATGAAAATTTAGATTTGGCTCTTTTGGCATATAGAGTCACTCCTCTTGAATGTGGTTTAAGTCCCTCAGAATTGCTAATGAATGGAAAGCTAAGATCACCTTTGCCTATTTTACCTAGCCAATTAGATTCAACTGTAATAGATGTAAACAAATTTTTGGAAAAGGAAAATAGAGGTAAGGATAGAGTTGGTAATAATTTTAATAAAAAACATAAAAGAGAATTATCTAAATTGGCAATTGGAGACAGTGTTTGGGTAATCGATCTAAGGGCCTACGGTAAAATTGTTTCAATCCTGGATGAACCAAGATCATATTTAATAGAGACTAATTTAGGTTCATATAGAAGGAATCGTTGGCATTTAATCCCAGCCCCTTATAGAGTTGATCAAAGACTTACCCCAGCACTGACTACTGACAATTCTACTAGTACTAAATTCTTGACACCAAATGAAAATTCTAACATTGCTTATGATTTGAACTCTGAACCAAGGGCTGAAATAAAGACTAGCTTAAGTGAAGTGCCTTATCAGGACAACATTCTTGATCAGAGCTCTAATATCAGTTCTAACAATTCTAACATGGAATCTTTAAGACCCAAAGAAGTTCTAAAAAACCAAGTTATCTAAATGACTATATTTCCTAATTAGATTCACCTACTTGCATTATTGTTTA